GAACAAAGACAAATGCTATTCTGGAAAAAAGCAAAACTACAGGGACATTAACAGTGGGTGCCAGGAGTTGCGGGGAAGAAGGAATGAACAGGCAGAGCACAGAGTATTCTTAGGGGCAGCAAAACTACTCTGTATGATACTACATTGGTACATACATGTCATTATACATTTATTCAAAATCATAAAATATACAATATCAAGAGTGAACCTGATGTGAACTATGGACTTTAGGTGGTAAATATGTGTCCATGTACGTTCCTCAACTATAACAAATGTACCAGTCTGGTGGGGGATGTTGAAATGAAGGAAGTTATGAGTATGTAGAGGTGAGGGGTATATGAGAATCTCTGAACCTTCCTCTTAATTTTTCTGTGAACCTAAAACTTCCACAAAAATGAAGTCTACTTTAAAAAATGATGAATAAGAATGCAAAATTTGGTCAGATGCTAAAATGGATCCTGGGAATCACATAAGATTGACTTTCTTTTTAGAGCCAATTCCTGTCAACCACTAAAACTAAAACAAGCCAACAAATCTCTCAGGGACTTCTGAGAACATTATTAATGTTGTTATATGTATCATAAATAAGCAGAGGAATAGGCAATAATATGATGAATTTTTTAAAAATACATTTCAACCATGTCCTGATTTCTGTAATCAGATCTACACTGCAAATTGCCACTTCAACACGGTACATTTGCAAATGTATTGAGAAGCTTAAAAAGATCTTTTAACACCTGTTTTAAGGACACCAACTACCTTACATTAGCCCCTCTGCATATTTGGGTAACAAGATTCATTTACCAAGTCTGCTTAAATTTTAAAACACGAATGCATTCAGTGATCATTTTATTTGCATAGTAGAAAGAAGCACAGGGGAGCTTCTAAATGTTGGCTCTCATTATACTTCCAATTATTTCAATTATTTCAGATTATGCATAAGGCAATTTCCCCTTTGACAAAATGCTAGATAAAGATATCCATGGGAATCCAAACAGCAGCAGTCCCTGTCCATATGGTAAGTTATGTTCTAGGGAAAAAAGCTGTAGTTAGGAGAAGTAATATAAATTTGATTGTCTTATGGAAATACTATTATAACAAAGATATGCATAACAAAATCTAGTCCCAACTTTATATAGAAGTGACTACAAACACCTTATAGTTTAATCAATTATTCTGCTTTATAATTTCAAACATAATTACTTCAAACATAATTCCAAAATAAAACTATGGCTACTACGATTCTTGCCTGATTGTATGATCTAAATCCAAGGATGCAGAAATAACATCATCAAAATCATAAAAACAACAAATCTTTCTTTGGGTAAACATAAGATATCCATCCAGTCCATAAGTCAATGAACCCTTTCTTAAAGACTTCCTTATTCATAGGAGTGGTTCTTCAATAGCCATGTTTATCTTGCATAACTCTGGGCCCTAATTACATCTGATAGAGATCAACCCTGACATAATAAAATTCTCAGTCTTACCATGGAACTAAGACTTTTGTGGGGAAAGAGTCACTTAATTGTGTTTTGAAAAAACTAATTTTTCCTAAGCTTTCTTGATAATTAAGGAACTAATTAAGGGCTTTCTCTCAGTAAAAGCCTAAAGATTTCCTATTTTTGTAAAATTTCTCTACTGATTTTAATTTCATTTTGTTCATTTTTATGAGATTAAATGGTTTTGAAAAATTCCTCTTTTAAAAGATGCCCTTTCTGTCAGTCTAGCAAACTGTAGTACTTTAAAGGGATTTTTTTTGTTGTTAGTGTGTTAGCTCTGGTTGGGGCTGGGGGAGTGAGTCCTTTGATTTTGTGATTCTCTGACAAAAGCCTAAGCTTTTCCCCTTTCTTCTTTTCTCTTTCATCCAATTGCTAAAAAGCTCTTCTTTTCTTCTCCAGAAATTACGCCATTTTTATGAAATATACATTTTTTTCAAAAAAAAAAGTAGTTTTATGTACACAGCAAAATTGAAAGGAAGATGCATTGAATTCCCGTATTCCCTCTATACTCACACGCATAGCCTCCCTCATCATCAACATCCATCACAGGGCAGTACATTTGTTACAAACGATGAACCTACATCAACACATCCTTATCACCCAAAGTCCACAGTTTACATTACTGTTCATTCTTGGTAGTGTACATTCTATGGGTTTGGACAAATGTATGAGGATATGGTTTGGTTGTGTGCCCAACAAAAACCTTATAGTTCCCATAATCCCCAAGTGTCATGGGAGGGACCCAGTAGGAAGTAATTGAACCATGGGGGTGGTGACCCTCATGCTATTCTCATGATAGTGAGTTTCCATGAGATCTGATGGTTTTATAAGGGGCTTTTCTCACCCTTCACTCTAATTCTTCTCCTTGCTGCCACCATGTGAAGAAGCATGTGTTTGCTTCCCCTTCTGCCATGATTGTAAGTTTCCTGAGGCCTCCCTAGCCATGCTGAACTGTTAGTCCCTCAAACCTCTTTCTTTTATAAATATGTCTTTATTAGCAGTGTGAGAACAATTTAATACAGCAAATTGGTAATGGGTAGTGGGGTGCTGCTGTAACGATACCCAAAAATATGGAAGCGACTTTGGAACTGGGTAATAGGCAGAGGTTGGAACTGTTTGGGAGGCTCAGAAGAAGACAGGAAAATGTGAGAAAGTTTGGAACTTTGTAGAGACTTAGAGAGCTCAGAAGACAAGATGTGGCAAACCAGAGACTTGTTGAATGGTTTTGACCAAAATGCTGATAGGGATATGGACGATGAAGTCCAGGCTCAAGTGGTCTCAGATGAAAATGAGGAACTTGTTGGGAACTGGAGTAAAGGTCACTCTTCCTATGCAAAGATACTAGCAGAATTTTGCCCCTGCCATAGAGATCTGTAGAACTTTGAACTTGAAAGATATGATTAGGTTATCTAATGGAAGAAATATCTAAGTGGAAAAGTGTTCAACAGGAAGCAGAGCATAAAAGTTTCAAAAATTTGCAGCCTGACAGTGCAGTAGAAAAGAAAAACCAATTATCTGGGAAGAAATTCAAGCCCACTGCAGAAATTTGCATAAGTAATGAGGAGCTGAATGTTAATCACCAAGACAATGGGGAAAATGTCTCTAAGGCATGTCAGAGACTTTCACAGTGACCCCTCCCATTACAGGCCTGGAAGCCTAAGAGGAAAAAACGGTTTCACGGGCTGGGCCCAGGGCTCCTCTGCTATGTGTTGCCTAGGGACTTGGTGCCCCACACCCTAGCTGCTCTCGTCATGGCTAAAAGGGGCCAATGTACAGCTCAGGTTTTGGCTTCTGAGGGTGCAATTTCCAAGACTTGGTGGCTTACACCTGGTGTTAGCCCTGTGGGTACACAGAAGTCAAAAATTGAAGTTTGGGAACCTCTGCGTTGATTTCAGACGATGTATGGAAGTGCCTGGATGTCCAAGCAGGATTTTGCTGCTGGGGGGAGTCCTAATGGAAAACCTCTGCTAGCACAGTGTGGAAGGGAAATGTGGGGTCAGAGCCCCCACAAAGAGTCCACTGGGGCACAACATTGCACCATGCACTTGGAAAAGCCATAGACACTCAACACCAGCCTGTGAAACAGCAAGGAGAGAGGCTGTACCCTGCAAAGCCACAGGGACGGAGTTGCCCAAGGCTGTGGGAGCCCACCTCTTACATCAGCATGACCTAGATGTGAGACATGGACTCAAAGGAGATCATTTTGGAACTTTAAGGTTTAATGACTGCCCTATTGGATTTCAGATTTGTGTGGAGCCTGCAGCCCCTTTGTTTTGGTCAACTTCTCCCATCTGGAACAGGTGTATTTACCCAATGCCTGTATACTCATTGTAACTAGAAAGTAACTAACTTGCTTTTGGTTTTACAGGCTCATAGGCAGAGAAGAACTGCCTTATTTCAGATGAGACTTTTGATTTGGACTTTTCAGTTAGTCAGAGAATGAGTTAAGACTTTGGGGGACTGTTGGAAGGGCATGATTGTGTTTTGAAATGTGAAGACATGAGACTTGGGAGGGGCCGGGGCGAAATGATATGATCTGGCGGTGTCCTCACTAAAATCTTGCCTTGAATTGTAGTTCCCATAATCCCCACATGTCATGGGAGGAATCTGGTGGGAGGTAACTGAATCATGGGGGCGGTTACCCTCATGCTGTTCTCCTGATAGAGAGTGAGTTCTCATAAAATATGATGGTTTTATAAGGGGCTCCCCCACCTTCACTCTCATTCCTCTCCTTCCTGCCACTACGTGAAGAAGAACGTGTTCATTTCCTTTTCCACCACGATTGTAAGTTTCCTGAGGCCTTTTAAATCATGCTGAACTGTGAGTCAATTAAATCTCTTTTCTTTATAAATTACCCAGTCTCGGGTATGTCTTTATTAGCAGCATGAGAACAGACTAATACATATGATGACACATATCTACCAGTTATAGTATCAGAGAATAGTTTCACTGGAAATTTGTTTTGAAAGACTGACCCATGAAATGACACCTATGCTTTTAAATCATGATTGTCCATTTAAATAGTACCTATCTCTTTAAATGGTATATCTGGTTCTATGTGGCCTTTGGCTCTTTAAGTCATGCATCCTTAAAATACCTTCCCTATACTCCATGCTCTGATCTGCTTGGACATTTCCCCAGCATTTTAACATTTAGGCTACATTTAATCTTTTTGGTGGCCATTCCAAATCACCCTTAGGCACTGTCACAGCCTATCTCTTCTATCTTCACAGTTTTTCTTGGTCTGCCTTTGCTCTCCATAAATCTTGGAAAGAATGGAAGTGGGAAGTAAGTGTGAAGAACTGAACACTAGAACTTACTTATGTTTTTTCCCTATTTATTCACTGTTATTTGTGTTTTGGTATTATCTGTCTATAAGTGATGCTAAGGGTGTGGCTTTGTGCAGTGTTTTCCTGATTGGAAAGTTGTTTCTTACCTTAAGTTTAGGAGACTGGTTACTACACATTGCCATTGTTTTCTGCTACCAGGAAATGTGTATGAAGCATTTTTAGATACCAGTGGATGTGCCAGAGGATGGAGAGAGAGGAACACAAATTTTCAATTAATAAAAAATGGCTAAAGGAGAAAAGCAGGGCTCTAGTTGTCTGTTATAAGGAATGTGACAGTATGAGAGGAGAAAACATTTCATTTTGTGTATCCAGGATCAAATTCAGGCTATGGCTTCTCTTGTTGATTCCTACCACCTGACCAAGCAGATTTGGGTTTTTTTTGGGGGATGGGGGAAGATACAAACTAAATGGTTTATAACACTAATAAAAAGTATCACCTTCACAGTATGACTCGCTAGGCCTTCAACATTAAGCAATGATGGCGATAATCACCTGAAAGACAAAGTTTAATAAACTCTTTTATAACCAGAGCAAATCCATCTTAAGTTTAGACAGATTTTATAAAGTACCTAAGCAGCAAATGGCAAGTTACATTTTGGATACCATCACTCAGTTTAAAAAGCAACAGCAGAAGTAAGAAAAACTGAATAATCCAGTGAACAGTGAGCCAGCTTTACCGTCATGAAAAACAATTTCATTTTCATTGCATGCAACTCTAAAAGTAAATATACAGTCACGATCCATTTACCTGTAGAAAACACTCTGCAATTTGTGGACTAAATCACTGACAATATTTAGCAGACAACTTTAGGGATGTTCAATTTTATTATTACCTAAGGTATTTCATTCCCCCAGCATGCCACATGCCCATCCTGAACATCCTTGACTCCAAAGGTAGAGTGTAGCAGTAAAATGTGACAACAATTACATTAACTATACAAATGGCCACACCTTGCCTTTTTTATTTACAAAGTGCTTTCACAGATGGGAAGGGCAGTTGTTATTTTCCTTCTACAGCTATGTATTGAAAACCAAAGTTAAATCACAGAGCCAGAGATTATACTAAAAGCCTTTGCCTTCTTCAAAGATAAGGCAATGACAGGTAAAATATAAAATGAGAGAATTCCAAATTATAGCTATACTCAGCAAACAAGCTAAGCACTTCCATGAACCAAAGCACACAGTGTGGAGGCAGAGCTAAAGCCATGGAACTGCTTAATGGGCCTCAAGTTAAGGTTTTTTTATTTTCAAGGTATCAAATTAAAACAATCATTATGAGTGATATGGTGTGGCTCTGTGTCCCACCCAAATCTCAGCTCGAACTACAATCCCCATAATCCCCATGACTTGAGGGAGTGTCCTGGTAGGAGGTAATTGGATCCTGGGAGCCATTTTCCTCACAAATTCTCATGATAGCGGGTGCACTCTCACAAGACCTGATCGTTTTCTTTTTTTTTTTTGGAGACAGAGTCTTGCACTGTCACCAGACTGGAGTGCAGTGGCGCAATCTCGGCTCACTGCAACCTCCACCTCCTGGGTTCAAGCAATTCTTCCGCCTCAGCCTCCCAAGTAGCTGGGACTACAGGTGTGTGCCACCACACCTGGCTAATTTTTGCATTTTTTAGTAGAGACAGGGTTTCATCATGGCAAGAATGGTCTTGATCTCTTGACGTCGTGATCCGCCCGCCTCGGCCTCCCAAAGTGCTTGGATTACAGGTGTGAGCCACTGCTCCTGGCCGACCTGATGGTTTTCTAAGTGTTTAACAGTTACTCCTTCACACGCCCTCTCTCAACTGCTGCCATGTAAGACATGCCTTGCTTCCCCTTCCACCATGATTATAAATTTCCTGAGGCCTCCCTCCCCAGCCATGTGGAAACTGCGAGTCAATGAAACCTCTTTTCTTTATAAATTACGCAGTCTCAGGTATGGACTAATACAATGAGGACATTAAATACAGCTTGTAAATCTTTTAGTTTGTTCTGTTATTTTAATTTTTTAACAGAGGGTCTGGACTTAGACTGAATGAAAAAGGAAACCAAAGAAAATTGTTGCTGACACATGCTGCAAGTTATGACTTAAATGGGGCTTCTCATCTAGAGAAATAGAAAAACACAGACATAGATGCAGAAGCAGCTGCAAAACTACCATGGGGGTGGGGCAAGTTCTGGGGAGGAGTAAGGAGGAGAAAACAAATGTTAAAGAAGGTAAGCTTGCAAATCAAAATTCCAAAACACGTGAAGACATCTAAGTTGGCCACAAAATTAACAAGTAGAAGAATAAGCACTTTCAGAAAAATTAAAATAACAGAACCAACTAAGATTTATAGGCTATGTTTAATATCTTCATAAAGATTTTAAAAATGTGATACCTTGGAAATGAAAAAATATAGCCACTGAAATAAAACCCAGTAGTGGAGATAGACACCAGAATGAGTGAACTGAAAGATCTAGTACTGAGGAATTTATCCTGATACAGCTATGAGATAAAAATAAGTATGAGTGTGTATTTACAAATCATATATATACGTATGAAAAAACAGTTAAGAGACAAAGAGAATGCAAGAATGACTCCAAAAGTATTAGGCTGTTCTTACATTGCTATAGAGAAATATCTGAGACTGGGTAATCTATAAAGAAGAGAGGCTTAACTGGCTCATGGTCCTGCAGGATTTATAGGAAGCATGGTGCAGGCATCTGCTTGGCTTCTAGGGAGTCTTCAGGAAGCTTACAATCAAAGCAGAAGGCAAAGGGAAAACAGTCCCATCACATGGAGAAAGCAGCAGCAAGCAACTGAGAGGGGCGGGAGGTGCCACAACACACTTTTAAACTAGCAGATCTGTGTGAACTCAGGGGAGAGCTCACTTATCACCAAGGGGATGGCCCATGCCATTCACAAGAGATGCAGCCCTATGATCCAAACAACTTCCTACCAGGCCCCACCTCCAACATCATGGATTAAAATTCAACCTAAGATTTGGATGGGAACAAATATTCAAACTACATCACCAATATATATCTAATACAGGGACAGAGAAGGAAATGGGGGTGGAGATAATGGAAATTTAATATGTAATAGCTGATCATTTTATAGAACTACTTGAAGACAGGAGTTCTTATATGTATTCTCAAGAGCACTACATAGATTAAGTTTTTAAGACTCCACACTTAAGACATCACTCTAAATCTATAGTATATCAAGTATGAAGATAAAAATCTTACTGGCTACCAAGAAAAAAAAAAGGAGACAGTTTATCTTCAAAGGAATAGCAAATAGTCTTACAACAGCTGTTTTATCAACAAAAATAGATGTCAGCAGGCAATAAGTGATGGATCTTCAACGTGAAAAAGGGTATAGAATTCTATACTTAGCTTAGCCATCACTAAAGACTGGGAAAAAAATGAAGCCATTTCCAGATGTACAGAATGAGAGAGTTTCCCATTCACAGACTGTCAGTGACAGGAATACTACAGGAAGTGAGATGCAAGAAAAAAAAAAAAAAAAGCCTGACAATGATATGTATTAGGTAATGAACATGAAAATATTTAAAATAATGAATTTTTGTGTTTTTAAGTGAAACCAACGAAAACAATAGATAATAATAATGGGGAAATGTGGGGTTAGAGAGTGGAATGTGCCTGATAGGTGGTGAAAAAAAAAAGGTAAGATCTTTGCTTGTTTAAAAAAGGTAAATATACTGAACAATTCAGTCTTTGCTAGAAAACCCTATATACATTCCATCCTGCCCCTGCCAAAGATGGTAGACATAAGGCCAACTACATTAATAACACAAAAATGTAATATAAACAGATTTAACTCTACTATTTAAAATAAAAATACCAAGAACCAAGTCTATTTTCAGTGCTCTGATTTCTGCTAAAAACATTAGCATATTTGGGGGACTTGACGAAAAGCAGCTGATGGTTAAAATGACCAATGTCTCAAATGTTTATTGCCTTTACAAATGATTTTCAAGCTGAAGTTAAATCAGAAGAAAACAGTAATTTACTACCAGCAGGAAGAGAACCAGAAATGTAGGGACTATGGACACACTTAATTTTTTTTTTTTAATGAAGAACTGCATTCAGATCTAACGAGACAAGAAAAGGAGCCAGTACTAAAACATTATTCTGCTAATTTCTTACTCCAATTTAGCCTGTGCTCTGTTATCACAGCTTTAGACTCTATACCAGACAAACTTTGGATGCTACGGATTAATCACACTATCTTAGATTACTGAAATCCAACTGTTGATGCTAATTGCATTAAGCCCCTAGTTGAAGAAATACTTCCCTGCTGCCCAGACATGATCACCTGGTTTGTGACCATCACTTCCAACCTCCAACCCCCAAAGAAGCAATGTGCTAATCTCAGAGGAGGGCAAACTGGGTGATAATTTTTCTTCTTCAGGCTAATTTAATCCACAAGCTCTTACACTTCTGTGAATATTTCAACTACTAGAAGTTAGAATCAGTGGGTTTAGCCCTGGAGGAATGAAAACACAGGTGTAGCCAGGGAAAGTGACTTAGGCCCAGTCACGCTGGTTGCTGATTTCATAACAGTCATGAAGGATCCCAAACATATCTTCCACCTTCACTGCAGGCCCTTTTTCTTACTGCACCATAGATGAGGTCTATAAGAGCAAGGCCCAAAGGGACAGTAAAATAATTTCATTTTTGTTTCCCATGCTTCCTTTGACCTATTCCCATTTAGACGAGAAAAGATCCTTAGACTAGAATATTCTAAATAGTCTCATTTTGCTGAAATGATTACTCATTACCAGAAGGGCTCACAAAAGGTTCTTGATGGAGCTTAAAACAGTTTCACCTTCTAAAACACATTCCTTTGAAGGCTGACATCCTTCCCAGGCTGTTGTTTCCCCCACTAAGAAAAAAAAAAAAAAAAAAAAAAAAAAAAAAAGCTCCTGAGAACAACATAGCAGCTCTCTCCATGAGTGAGGCAAGCTCAGTTATTTCTTGATCACACTTTGCTTCTAAAAGCAGACATATATCTTTAGCCTCCTTTCCAAGGAAGTAAGGCCCACCACCAGGAAGCTACTTGACTGAACGCAGCCATGCTCAGTGTGTGCGAAAGAATGAAGTCCTCTTGTTAGTAGCTCCAGGCAACAGAAGAGGCTCACATTTTAGAAAACTTTTTTGGAGTAACTATATTTATAAATAAAATACAAATACAAAATCACTGAAAAATTCCTAAGCCATACATTGTTTCAATGTGTACCAAGAACCAGAGTCAAAAATAAAAGGGGAAGAAGCCTAAGGGAGGGTAGAGAAGGAACAGGAAAGGGGAGAAATTATAGGCTGTCACAGAACATTCCAAGTTTCTGTGACACACAGCCCATCGGACAGGGTTCTTCCTTTGCTAGCCTCCACATGAAAGAGTCACCTACGTCTCAGAGGCAGGAAGAGCCAAGGGCCAGATAGCTCCCTAACCCCATCATTCCTGTCCCTTCCTGGCAGCTGTTTGGGAGGTCTAACGGCATTAACTCCATTCTCTTGGAGAGCACATGGATACACAAACACACACACACACACACACACACACACACACACACACACACAATCCTATGTAATCTGACTTTATCTACGTTTTCCTCAGTTAAACACTTTCAAGATGTTCACAAGAAATAAGGTCCTATAACATTTAAGGAATACGGTTATATTATGCAGCCTGGGTGAATAAATTAGGAACAGCTGGGAACAGACAAAAATGACTCTGTGCTTCTACTTTAAATGAACTTCAAAAACACTTACATATATAATTTAAACCAACTCTTCATGGCATAGATGAAGAAACTGGCATCCACAGTGGGTTATCTGACTAGGAGAGGGTCAGCAGCCCAGACTAGACTTTGAGTGTCTGACATTGGTGTGAGCGACTGTCCTACCATGTCAGACTTGCTGTGAGAAGAGAGGACTACAGAGGCTGCACATCCCTGAGAAAAGCAAGAAGCCCAGAGATCAGCAGACGCAGGGATGCCGAGTGTTCACACCAATAGCAGAAAGAAAAGTGACAGAGGTAACACCAGGATTCTACAAAGCATCTGAGGGTAAAGAAAGAAGGAAAAAGTAAAAGAAAAAATACAAACTTCATGACAACTATTCAGTCGAGTGCAATAGGGACTGTGTTAAGTGCAGGTTAATAAGAATTATTTTCCTTAATAATAGGAAAATAATTAAGCTCTTTGGATTAGTGACTAGGTGTTTGTTATAATTAAAATACTTTTTTAAAATTTCATTTCTCACTTTAGTTGGGGTATATTCTCTTATCATGTGCTTCTGTTTACTTCTTGAAATTCCCTATCAGATAAACTTTTGGATGCTTGTTAATGAAGATTATTGGGCTCTACTTTAGAGCTATCGAATCGGAATCTCTCTAGCTAGGACTCCGATTTCTTAGATCACTAAGAGATCTAAATTTTAAACAAGCTTCTCATGTACACTGGCATCTAAGAACTAGCACCAGAGTCTGGTACAGTGTTACGCACCTATAATCCCAGCTACATGGAGGCTGAGGTAGGAGGATTACTTGAGCTCTACAGTATTCAGTAAAAATGCCGTATAGGCTCGCAGCCCAGGAGCAATGGGCCATACCACATAGACTAGGTGTGGAGTAGGCTGTCCCAGCCCGTCTAGGTTTGTGAAAGTGCATCTTATGACAGTCTCTGTGATGCCTTAAGATGTGTTTCTCAGAATGTATCTCTATCATTAAGTGATACATAACTGTATTTCCTTTAGAATTAGGAAAAACATAACTTACTAAAAACAAGCAAACAAAACAAAAAGCATAATTATAGACTTACTAAGCTATATATCAACCCCATTTCTCTCAATAAAGCAAAGGGCAGAGTATCCTAAGCCCCATTAGACCTCCCCTACCAAGTGCTACAGAAGGGACAGAAACTGTCCAGCTTTGCCCACAACCTCAACTCCTTGGTAGGGACAGATATGTCTGAGGAGCAGGTCATGTGGCAGGCATCTGAGTAGGGGATCAGCCTTTGAAAGATGCGATGTGGCAGCAACGTGGATCTGGCTAAATGTCAGGTTAACCTCTAGGCTCTCTGCCTGGCCCCATCCTCCACATTCTCTCTAGAGTATGGCAAAAAGGAGAGTCCAAAATGAAAGGAGGCAGAGAAAGAGACTATTCAGACTAGAGAACCGTATTCAACTAAGAATCCCTGCTTATTTCCCCAGACCGCAGAATGCCCTGCAGGGCAAAAAGGAATGAAGATGGCAACATGTTTTCACATCCAAATTGGTATGGCAATTCTCAGAAATTGTTTCAAGCAGAGGGACGGAAAATAGGACAGTAATCACTACCTTTGAGAACGAAGTTCCTAAATATAATGACTAGCGCTCAACTCCTGATTATCTCTGCACACTGAGGACAAAGGGATTAGCAGGAAGAGAAATACAGTGGACACATTCAGGGACCTGAGGTTGCCAACTCCATTCCCATCTCAGTTCCCTGGGATGCACACATGGATTACCACAAGCGCTGAGTGAAAATTCTAGGGAGTGCTTGCCCATTTTGGTTTAGGTCTATCTGCTTCATGACTACATCTGCAGAAGCCCCTGGACATGCAGAATCACTCACACCGTTCTTCCCTACCAACCCTCAGCTAATAACAGGGCCCTGAGACCCTCATATATAAGGTCCCCAAGGCCCACTGATAGTCTCTTGGGAAGAGTAGATGGCTTCATGCCAGGAGATGAAACAGAGGAAAGAGCAGATTATTTTCAGTATTGTACTCCAGCTAGCATCTTCAATGAGCCCAATTTTATATTAAATAAATATATATTTGTGTATGTATAAGCATACATTAAAAGCACTAATGAGAATTACTCAAAAATGGCTGTGTGCCATGGCTCACACCTGTAATCCCAGCACTTTGGGAGGCCGAGGCAGGTGGATCACTTGAGGTCAGGAGTTCAAGACCAGCCTGGCCAATATGGTGAAATCCCATCTCTACTAAAAATACAAAAATTAGCCAGGTGTGGTGGTGGGCACCTGTAATCTCAGCTACTTAGGAGGCTGATGCAGTAGAATTGCTTCAACCCAGGAGGCAGAGGTTGGAGTGAGCTGAGATCCAGCCACTGCACTCTATCCTGGGTGACAGAGCAAGACTCTGTCTCAAAAAAAAAAAAAATTACTCTAAAATGTCAATACTGGTTTCCCAGTGATCTTAATTTTCTTTACATTTTTCTGAATTTTCCAATTTTTTTATGATAAAAGGCTTTTTTTTTTATAGTTAGGGGAAAGCATTACTTTAAAAAATAATAATGGCTATTATTCACCCAGAGATAAAAGTGTACTATAACAGATGAGGCCATTTATGTAGTACAATGTTTGAAAGTATATAGAAAAAAAGAGTGCAGAGATAAAAATGTCACTTCCTCTTCTCTATAGCCCATTGTTGCTACTTATCTGTAAGATTTCCATGCCTTTGTCTATCGATTTCTAGGAGCCGCTATAAGCCATTATATTATTATTATTAAAGTTCTTAAGTGATAGTTTGGCTCTGTGTCCCCACCCAAATCTCACTTTGAATTGTAATCCCCAGAATCCCCATGCCTCAGGGGAGGAACAGGTGAAGGTAATCGGATCATGAAGGCAGTTTCCCTCATGCTGTTCTTGTGATCGTGAGTTCTCATGAGATCTGATAGTTTTATAAGCATCTGGCATTTCCCCTGTTGGCACTCAGTCTCACACCTGCTGCCCTGTGAAGAGGTGCCTTCTGCCATGATTGTAAGTTTCCTGAGGCCTCCTCAGCCATGCTGAACTGTGAGTCAATTAAACCTCTTTTCTTTATAATTACCTGGTCTTAGGTATTTAATCATAGCAGTATGAGAATGGACTAATGCCTTAAGTTTAAACAACAACTTTAAACTTCTACGTCATCAAAGCTTTTCACTTGAGATGCCAACAAATGGCAAAATGACTAAATCTAATTTTCGTGTTATTTTGTTTTCTTTTCTTTTGATATAGCTATTGACGGGTAGTAAAACACTAGCTGAATGAGATAATTATAAAATTATTAATATCTGAATAACTGTGAAGTTAAATCATGATTTTTACATCATGAAAAAGATGGAAATTTAAGTATCAGTCAGTTTCTTAAAGTTAAAATCAAATTACAGGTAAGTAACATAAGCAATGGAGAACCTCCTTGTTTAGAATAGTATGTGGGTCTGATATTCAACATGCTTCAATTGTTTCACCCTTCACCACAGAACAGTGTATGATTTCAAGTCCCTCTAGAACAGGAAATATCCCTGACCAACCCTAATTATCAGCTGCTAATAAAGTCCATACAGCTTTTTATTTCTTCTTTTCTACATATTTTCACCATATGATTAAGCTATACAACATATACAGAACACTGTAATTTGATGATGCTCTACTTATTCGCATGATCCGTAATGCTTATTTCTCACATTGTTCCCATATTTGAAGGTTGTTGTTCTCTAAAGGATGACATTAGTGAAAGAGATATTGTTGCTGCCACATGGTAAAAATAAGTTATACAAGACACAGGGCTGTCAAAGAGGACCATTTGGCATTTTCTTTGATGTATCTGTATGAGGTAGAATAAATAATAGATTCAGAATTAGAAGACCAATATTTAAAACATAACCTCACATTTTGGTAGTTAAATAATTATATTTGCCCACTTAACTTACCTTTTTCACCTTTACTTACTTTTTAAAAATGGGAGTTAGATTGATTTGGAGGGGTGGAGCAAGATGGCAGGATAGAATACCCTACCCACTGTCCCCTTGACAAAAAAACCAAATTTGACAACTATTTACACACAAAAAAGCACCTTCATCAGGACCAAAAATCAGCTGAGCACAGTGGCTCATGCCCATAATCCAACACTTTTGAAGGCTGAGGTGGGAGGATTACTTGAGCCCAGGAATTCAAGACCAGCCTGGGCAATATAGCAAAACCACATGTCCACTAAAATTACAAATATTAGCCAGGTGTGGTGGCATGTACCTGCAGTCCCAGCTACTTAGGAGGCTGAGGTGGGAGAACTGCTTGAGCCCAGGAGGTGGAGGTTGCAGTGAGCTGAGATAACACCACTATACTACAGCCTGGGTGACAAAGCAAGACCCTCTCTCTCTCAAAAAAAAAAAAAATCAAAAATTAGGTAAGGATCATGGTATTCGATTTTAACTTCATATCACTGAAAAGAGTAGAAAACAGTCGTGAATTGCCAACGCCATCCCTCCCCTATGCCTCACAATAGCTGCGCAGCTCAGAGAAATCTGTGTGTTTGAGGGGAAGAGAGTGCAGTGATTATGAGACTTCACATTAAACTCTGTGAAATAATTAAAAAGTATCATGAAGAAAATCTAGAGTAGAAACCTGCAACTTACATACTAAAGATTGAATCCAAGTCTCTCAATAAGAGAATTGATTAACCAGAAGAAAGAATTAGTGGGCTACTTGAAAATATACAGTCACAGGAGACAAAAGAAAAAAGAATAATGAAAGAATGAAGCACACATACAAGATCTAGAAAACAGCCTCCAAGGGGCAAATTAATAGGCCTTAAAGAGGAGGTAGAGAAAGAGACAGGAGAAGTAAGTATATTCAAAAGGATAATAACAGAACGTCCCAAATCTAGAAAAAGATATCAATATCCAAGTACAAGAAGGTTATGGAAAACCAAACACATTTAATTCACAGAAGACTACCTCAAGGCATTTAATAATTAAACTCCCAAAGTTTAAGAAGAAAGGAACCTAAAATCACCAAGAGCAAAGTAACAAATAACATACAATGGAGTTCCAATACATCTTGCAGCCGACTTTTCAGTGGAAATCTTACAGGCCAGGAGAGAGTGGCATGACATACTTTAAAAGCTGAAAGAAAAAAATCCTTACCCTGCGGTATTATATTTGGAGAAAATATTCATCAAAAATGAAGGAGAAATAAAGACTTTCGCAGACAAACAAAAACTGAGGAATTTCAATGCTAGACCTGTCCTTGAAGAAATGCTAAAGGGAGTACTTCAATCAGAAAGAAAATAACGTTAATGAGCAATAAAACATCATCTGAAGGTACAAAACCCACCAGCAAAAATAAGTACATAGAAAAATACAGAATATTATAACACTGTAATGGTGGTATGTAAACTACTTTCTCTTAGATAGAAAGATGAAAAGATGAATTAATAAAAAAAACAACTTTAACAACTTTCTAAGACATAGAACAATAAGATATAAACAGAAACAAGAAAAAAAGTTAAAAAATTAATTAAAACGTGGGGAACAAAGTTAAAGTGTAGAATTTTTATTCTTTTTAGTTTTGCTTGCTTGTTTATGCACGCAGTGTTTAGTTGTTATCAGCTCAAAATAATGAATTATAAGATAGGTTTTGCAAACTTCATGGTAACCTCAAATCAAAAAACAAACAACAGGCACATAAAAAATAAAAGCAAGAAAATAAATCATATCACCAGAGGAAATCACCTTCACTAAAAACAAGACAGGTAGGAAAGAAGGAAGAGAAGACCACAAAAAAAAACCAGGAAACAAATAACAAAATGGCAGAAGTCTTTACTTATCAATAACAACACTGAATATAAATAAACTCTCCAATAAAAAGATGGAAAAATATATTCCATGCCAATGGAAACCAAAAAAGAGCAAAGTACCTATAATTATATCATCTAAAATAGATTTAAAGACAAAAATGATACAAAGAAACAAAGAAGGGCATTATATAATGATAAAAGGGTCCATTCAGCAAAACGATATCATGATTGTAACTATATGTGCACCCAACACTGGAACACCGAGATATGTAAAGAAAATATTAAAGAAAGATATGAATTCCAATAAAATAATAGCTGGAGATGTCAACAATCCACTTTCAGCATTCGACAGATCTTCTAGACAGAAAATAGACAAAGAAACATCAAATTTAATCTACACTATGGACCAAATAAACCTAAAAGGTATTTACAGAGCATTTTGTCCTACAGTTGTAGAATACATATTCTTTTCTTGTAATTTTTTAAATGTTTTTCTTTTTCTTGCCCTGTCCTATGGTGCTGAAGAATATACATTCTTCTTAGCACACAGATCATTCTCAATGACAGACCATACGTTAATATCACAAAATAAGTCTTTGAACACTCAAAACACATTGAAATAACACCAAGCATCTTCTCCGACCACAATGGAATGAAACCTGAAATCAGTAACAAGGGGAATTTTAAAAACCACATAAATACATGGATATTAACACTATGCTCCTGAATGACCAGTAGGTCAATGAAGACATTAAGAAGTAAATTAAAAAATTTCTTGAAAGAAATGATAATGAACACAATATACCATAACCTATGGAATACAGAAAAAAAAGTTATAGGAGGGAAGTTTACAACTATTAAGTGCCTACATCAAAACAAAATTAAAACCTTCAATAAACAACCTAATGATTCATCTTAAAGAACTAGAAAAGCAGGAGCAAACCAAACTCAAAATTAGGAGAAATGGTAAAGATAGGAACAGAGATAAACAAAATTGAAGTGAAAAAAACAATACAAAAGACCGACAAAACAAAATATTGGTTTTTTTTCAAAAGGCAAACAAAATTGACAAATCTTTAGCCAGAATAACTAGGAAAACATGAGAGAATAAATAAATAAAATAAATAAATAAAATCAGAGATCACGAAGGAGAAATTACAACTGATACTGCAGAAATTCATAGGATCATTAGTGTCTACTATGAGCAAGTATATGCCAACAAATTGGAAAATCTAGAAGAAATGAACAAATTCCTAGACACATACCATGCACCAAAACTGAACCATGAAAAAAAATTCTGAACAGACCAAATGAGATCAAAGCCATAATACAAAGTTCCCCAGTAAAGAAAAGCCCAGAACCTGAGGGCTTCACTGCCAAAT